AGATAAATTGGCATACAGAGAGGTTGCCCACGATATGTCGAAACCGTAAACGAATAAACCCGTGATATTCAAGGGGCTCCCGTACTACATGGTAGATGATTATTATCATTATTCTTTGGTTCTTTCAGTAACCTCACGTAAATGGAAAAATAAAGTGAATAAAAAATGGTAAAAATGATTATTTTTATAGAAAAAATAATTCACTTTATTTTTATTATTTTTTATACCTACGTGACTTTACCGCAAGAACCAAAGCATATGAATTCTTGCAGTCACGAAAGATTTAAGCCAAAATTATTATATATTATATTGCAGTGGCAGGGTGGTGGTATCATGGTAACACTTGTGCCTCAGCAAGAAGGGCCCTAGGTTCGATTCCAAACTTGGGCGCCTCTCTGTGTGGAGTTTGTAAGTTCTCCCTTTGTTCTGCGTAGGTTTTCTCTGGATCATTTCTTCCCATAGCTAATACAAAAGAAAACGCCTATACAATTTAACTGCATTGGCCAAACATCTCAATGCTGAGCAAAATCTGCAAATCACTCAATTGGGATCACACGCAGCAGTAGTAGTAGTGAAATCGGCCCTTACTGAGAAAACCTGGCATGAACCTCCCGAAAAAAAGTATTGATAGTCGGCGAGACTTTGCAGTGTGTACAACCCGCGTCATAAGTTATTATTAAAACCGTACTCTCTCCCGCCACGGGATGGCGCCGTCTACTGGAGTGCAGACGCCACGACCTCAACGCGTCTGCGACTTTTAAAGTCGATTTAATTTGTTATGCGCGTGATCCCGTTTTGCCAGTTTCTCGGATGTTTCACAGATCCGTGGTGCGTGGGTTTGTGATGCTCCATATTCAAATCTTGTGCTCCACAAAAAAACACATCCAATGCAATGTGGTAGAATATGTGTGTTATGGTAATTTTGCGAAATGAAATGTAAAGTATATGCTAATTTTACACAGGCTCAAGGGGCGATTACAACCACAAAGGAGAACAGAGAGATGATACCAAGGGCATGGGCAAAAACGAGTCAACCGATTCTCAAGTAACTCCATAGCTCAACTCAGATGTTAACTATCTCACCTGGTTTGCAGTTTGTGGGTTTTACCCTGACGCCTGCTGTATATTTGGAGTTTGCGTCTCTCTCTCTTTACCCGTGGTCGTATTAATTTTTTTCTGGTTCCTCCGGGTTTTCCCTCCGCATTTATAATCAACGTTGCATTTAGAGTATTTCGCTGCTGCTATAAATGTCCACGTGATAAGTCACTTCGTTGAGCTATCATTTATGGTGAAGTCCCTCCTTAAAAAGAGCTACATAGCTCATTGGGCCTTGCCTGGTAAACTAAAAATAGTAAAAAATAGTTCAACAAAATCTCATATATTTGCTGAGAGAAGTGAAGAGATGCATTCCTTGACACGCGGGGCGTTGTCAGCCAATATTCTGATTTATGATTGATCTCTGGGTTAGGCCATGTAATGCTCTGACCAAATTTGTGTCGTCACACCACCATTACAGACAAACACATAATTGTTGCGAGTGCAAGTACCATCAGGATCTCATTCTTAAGATGCTCGACGCAGTCTCAAATGAAACGCTCCGTAATCTAATCGCTAAATGCAGTTGTGAGAATCTCTCATTGCCTCACCGGCGAGCGAGCTGAAATCGATGCCAATTGGTGCTTTAAAAACGCTTCTAAATCTGGCAATGAATTTGTTTGGCTGTGTTTAGGGTGGCAGAGGGCAGCACGATATAGGCAACACCGCGGCACCTGCCTTGTCATGCGCGCTCCCCTCTGCGCCCATCCACCCCGCAGGGCAGCTTCACTAAATCTCAAGACTCACTTTCAGGAGGGTCCTGGCAATGTTTTCACAGTAGGGGGCTCGATGTTGCTGCTGCTATTTGCGATCAGAGCAGAGCAATTTGCAGGCCGTCATTCAGCACAAGAATGCCTGACCAATATCGTTGACATTCTGAGTGTGGGGGGTTTTAGCTATAGGAGAACAGATAACTCGGAGGAATTCCACACAGAACACAGCAGGGAGAAAATTCCACACATACACCACACAGAATGGTGCCCGAGTAGGGAATTGAACCCATGTCCTTTTAGCTGTGATCTGTCATTCGCCACCACCCCTTACCACCCTCTGTAATTTGCTGTGTGGTGTGGTATGCGTGGTGGTGTGGTGATGTGTGGAAGTGTGTGGTGGCGTATCGTGTATTTGACATGTGTGGTGGTGTGTGGTGATGGTGTGTGGTGGTGGTGTGTAGTGGTGGTTTGTGATGGTGTGTGATGGTGTGTTGATGTAAAACGTGTGTGGTTGTGTGGTGGTGGTGTGTTGGTGGAGTGGTGATGTGTGGTAGTGTGTGGTGGTATGTGGTGGCGTATCGTGTATGTGACGTGTTTGTGGTGACGGCGGTGTGGTAGTGGTGTGTGGTGGTGTGAGATGGTGTGATGGTGTATCATGTATGTGACGTGTGTAGGGGTGTCTGGTTAGCGCACTGTGCTATGAACCCGGCCACCAACACCAGTGATGATTATCTGAACCGGTCCTGAATCTCCCCAAGGCCAACTCAACCTCAAATGAGTACCTGGTGCGATGTATAAACACCGCCACTGGGGAGACAAAAGCAGCCTGGCGTGGTCCTCGCTACCCACCTCCCGTGTGCCGTTCAGACTTTCATAGTTGTTCGCTCACAGCACTTGCCCCAAGAGTCGGTAAAGGCTATACGGGGGTGTTTGTGTAGGTGTGTCCATGTTCTCTGATGCACCGAACTTGTCCGGCCAGCCCTGCTTGTTGCACAGCCCGGAGCCCACGTCAGATGCAATTACTCTGCACCTGTCACCACTGTGGCTTCTTATCATCTCTGTCTCTCCCACACAACTCAACCCTTTCCGGCAAGAATACAGGTGTTAAGATGTCCAAACACCAAATAGACACCTATCGCAGGGCATCAAGTCTGCATTAACCACACATGTATGCATGTTGAACTTCTTTCGCACCATACGAAGCCAAGCACGCTAATCCGGAGGTGCGGGGGAAGGACAGTAAACCAAACACAAAAAGCAGTTTTCAATCTCGATTTAAAAGTGCATAGCTCCAGTGGCTTCCTAATATCGGAAGGAAGACCATTACAGATGGCTGCAGATGCGCATCCGAAAGTGCACGATGCACTGCCCTTCTTTGTTTCATGGATAACCAAAAGCCGCTGCGAGGATGATTGGAGTTCTTGGGTGTGAAACATGCAAACAAACATGCTATGATCTATTTGGCCTGGGAACTTATTAAACAGCATAGCCTTAATAGACTTTTGAACAAGTGCTGTTAGCGGCACCTATGAAGGCCGGCAATGGCACACAAGGCGGTGAGTGTCCAGCACCACGCCCAGCCACCTTTGTCTCCCCAGTGATGTTTACACACCATACCAGGTACTCCTTTGAGGTTGAGTTGACCTAGGGGAGGCCCGGGACCAATTCAGATAATCGTCACTGGTGTTGTTAGTGGCCGGGAGCAGGAAACGAACTCTGTTCGCCGGGTTCGCAGTGCAGCACGCCACCGCTCCCCAGATGAAACAGACATTAAACAGCACAGACAACGCACAGCAGCAGCAGAGCCCCGGGGTGTGGGTGCCTGGTATGCACTGAGAGGTGTGTTGGCGATAGGGGAGTGGTCCTGGTTTCTGCCCGCAGAGTGTGTGTATATTTAACCAAGTAATCGTTTCTTTAGCTGTCAATGGCCTCAGTTTACGCCATCGCAAAAATAGCCATCGTTAACGCCTTACCTCAAGACGTAATTAAGTTTACACACGTTTCCGGATAGATTTGATTACATTGCAATTATTTAATTATTCTGCGTGTTTAACCAGGAGGGTCTTGCTACGTTTGGGATGTTTGGCCAACACCAATTACAGTGTACGTTTTTTTTCTTCACATTATATTAAGCACATTTTATAACTATGAATTTTAAGCTTGTTTACCAAGAAAAGCCTCAGTGAACCTCAAGACCCTTTGCCGGTCTCTCTGAATTCCAATGCCAAAGGGATTTTCTTTGAAATTGTTATACAAATATATATATTTGAAGGATGCATTGGAGATAATTTATATGTGCTCCTCCTCAGCAAGATATCCTGGAGACATACGATCTTGATTTAGGGGGAGCCGCCCCAACCCCTCCCCCCCTACGGAGGTTATGGGCAGGGTGAGTTCCCACGACACACCGCGGGAGCGTTCACGACGCCAACGCCAGCCACGACATTCACAACGTTCACTCGACTTTCCTCCTGCATTGCGCGGAGCGTCTGCAATGTGCGCGGGGCGAACGTCCCACTTTTCAACATCATGATAATAATGAAAATGACTGATTTAACCTGGGAAAGCCTAATCGAGTATCAAGACTCTTTGTAAGGAGGGTCCTGCTACATTGGGATGTTTGGCGAACACCAATTATATACTACGTGTTTTTCTTCAAATTACATTAAACACATTTTATTACGAATTTCCATCTCGTTTATCCAGTAAAGCATCAGTGAGTCTCAACTCTTTTGTCAGGAGGGCCCTTCCGGGTTTTCAAAGTAGAGAGTGATGTTGCTGCTGCTCCTGCATGATCGCAAATTTAGTCATTTACCATGTAAAGTTTTAGCATTGGGATGTTTGACCAATATTGGTTCTATTGTGCATGTGCATTTAGCTATGGGAGGAAACTGAAGAACTTGGAGGAAACAATGGGAATGAATACAAACTCCACGCAGAAAGGCACTCCGAGTCAGGAATCTAATCCAGGTCCTTTTGGCTGGGGCACAAGCGGCAACAATGTGCCACCACCCAACCCAACGTGAGTCTGTTACGGACTCTATACCATTTGGTGAAAGAACACAAAGTTTATCCATTGCCATCTTCACTGGTGGCTAAAAAAAACCAACAGCCAGGGAAACTACACATTTATATGGCAGGGACCAGTCAACCCGCAGGACCCCAACGGGTGACTCATGTAACCCGCAGTACCTGTAGCGACGTGGTGTCTGCAGAGACTTGGGTCCTCAGTCGAGTCTCCAGCTCCTCCAGCAGGGCCCACAGACTCAGAGGCTCTGCTCGCACCAGGGTTGGCCAGGAGGAGGATTTGTAAGGGAGGGAGGAGAGAGGCGAGGGAGGGAGATTACATGGACTGAACCTTGTATAAATGTACACACACATACATATATATTTCTAGAATATAAAAAAATGTCAAGTGTGTAAAATATGTCTTGATGCATACGGTTGCTGAGGCCCAAAACTTCAAGGGGCACCAATAAAGTTATAATGGATGAGTTTACACATTTCTTAAAATTAGCAGGGTTATTGTGAGAGCTTGGAGAAAAGAGACCTCCTGTGTTGTGAGTGGGTGGGTGTGTTGTTGTGACTTGCAGTGTGGTGAATGATTCATTGTGTGTTGTTGTGATCTGCATTGCCGCGAGTGAGTGGGTTGGTGGGTGAGTCAGTGGGTGGGTGAGCGAGTCACTGAGTAAGCGAGTCACTGAGTAAGTGAATAGGGAAGTGAGTGAGTGAGTGGGCAAGTCTGTTGTTATGACCTGGAGTGTGGTGATTTAAGACAATATTGATGAGACAAAACAGTCAGTTTGGTGGGAGAACGAGTCCTCAAAGTGGGTGGAGAAATGAATGAGTGAAGTTCATTTGAACAGGAACCATGGTGGTAGTAACAATAGAAGAGTGATAAGGAGGTGACAGACTGCCGGTGCCTGAAGTGAATCGATTAATCCTGGAACAAACACGCCAACTCCTTTACTCTGAATTCTATCAAGTGTCGCATTACGATTATCTTATTTTTATTTTGCTGTCTCAAGACTGTTTTTCAGTACGGGGGGTGCAATGATTGCCACGTGTTATCCCAACTGAATAATTACCAGTGTACATTTGCTACGAACGACGTCGCGGGGATCTTTAACGTCCCCTATGGAGCAGCGCGGACGGTGCGCTGAGCTTCAACGGTTAAGTTCCGTACCACACTACATCGCTATTCACCGTGGCGGCCTGGCGGATTTGCCGCGCCAACCTCCGCCATGGTAGCCAAAGCGCGACGTCCGGCGTACAAAGGAGAACTCCCCCACAACGTCCAGGGGACGTCGAGGAGAGGGCGATGCACGTTGATAGAGGCGCAGCAGACACATTTATCGAAAAGTGTCCGTAATTTGTCAATTGTGTTCATGCTAAATTTCGTAAACTGAACGTTCGTAAAACAAGGGATACCTGTACTGCGAAAACCTAGCAGGACCCTCCCCTGCCAGGTGACCCCCGCTACCTGGTAGGGGCCATCCGGAGGGGACTCTGACAGCAGCGGCAAGCAAGCCAGAGCAGCCAACTCAGAGCACCTCGCACGTCCGAACTTCTCAAGACTGGACAGGCGAGATCGGGCGGAGTTCGTAAGGTGCTGTGTGTTCACGGAGGTGGTAGCGCTGCCCTTTAGTGAATGTCGCATTTGGCCCATCCCAACACCCGCCACCCTGCCTGCCTCCATGCCAGTCTCCTGTCTACCTCCATGCAACACGAGTGCAAACATCACCTTTAGTGATGTTTCTGTAAGCTAATTTTACTTTGAACGATTTTGAAGTATGTATGTTGAACTTCTTTCGCACCATACGTAGCCTAATTGGAAGTGTGTGTTTTGTTACAGAAACTTTATTCGTGTAAACATTGCTTGTGTGTTTGTGGACTGTTTTTAATCGCATCCATAATTGCAGTTATTTTAGTTTTAATTTATATGACTATGCCTGTTGTTATGCATTTGCTTTTGTCAAATGAGACTCTAACCTGGTTTCTTGAGTTCCACTCACTTTGGTTACACAAAATCAACTTGACACTTAAAACTCTGCTGCATGCACGAATCAATCCCAGTTGTTCCTATTGCATTGATTATACTCTTTGGTTCTTTCGGTAAAGTCATGTAGTTAGAAATAAAATAAAATAAAACAAATTACGTTTCGATCGCAACACAAGCGGTTGTCATCAGGCAAAATCACGACCGCTTGTGTCGCAATCGAAATGTCGTGATTTGTTTTATTTTATTTTATTTCTAACTACGTGACTTTACCGAAAGAACCAGAGAATGGATTCCTGCAGTTACGAAAGCTTCAAATCTGCAATGATTATATTTTATTTAGCTTTTTAACCAGGAAAGCCTCACTGGAGTCTTAAGAATCGTGTGTCCTTTCAGAAAATGAGCGATGGAGCAATGCCTGGCACTCACATCAGGTTTGGTGAACACCTCACAGTGTTCCCACATTTGAGTTAAACGTTGTGTTATTTATTTTAACTGCCATTATGCTTTTTTAAACCAGTAAAGCCTCAGTGAGTCTTGTTCAGGAGGGTCCTGCCAGGTTTTTAACATCAGAGAGGCAATGTTGGTGCTGCTGCTGTGTAATCCAAATTGCGAAATAAAAAAAGGTCAATTTTCAACATTTGGATGTTTTGACCAATACTGGTTACACTGTGTGTGGTATTTTATTAGCTATGGCAGAAAACTGGAGAACCCGGAGGAAACCCATGCAGAACAGGGGGAGAGAATACAAACTCCACACTGAGAGGCGCCCAAGTTGGGACTCAAACCCAGGCCCCTTATTGCTGTGAAGCACGAGTGTTACCACTATACCACCACCCTGTCACTGAAATAATAAACTACAATGTAGTAGGGGAGATCCTTGAATATTGCGGGTGTATCATTTGCAATTTCGACCTATTGCAGGCAATCCCTCTGTATACCAATTTAGTTATCGCGGAGGTTAGTTTTGGCCTTCCGCTGGGGTATAGTCGGGAGGTGCGGGTGTCACCACTGCGCCACCACCACCCCTGCCACCTTTCTAGCTAGGTGCCCTATTGGCTGTGTAGTGGCCGGGCTGTGCCTCCTGCCCCGAGGCCCCGCCGTGTCAGCCGTGCTAGCTGCTCCTGGTACCCACCGTCAGCAACGGGAGCCGCCCCTTCGGCACGCCCACGGCCCGGGGAGGGCCCGGGGCTGGGCGCGCCCCGGACGAGGTGGCCGCACTCGAGCAGCAGCTCCCGCAGGCGCCAGCCGGCTCGGAACACCTCCTCCCTGCCTCGCACATGGCACACGCGACGCATCGTCCATATGGTATATAATGTAGTGTACAGTATAGTGTAGTGTATAGTGTGGTGTAGTGTGCGGCGTAGAGTGCACTGTGTATAGTATAGTACATAGTATAGTGTACAATGTAGTGTATAGTGTATTGTGTGGTGAAAAGTGTACTGTATTGTGTAGTGTATAGTGTAGTGTGTGGTGTATAGTATAGTGTATGGTGTAGTGTGTAGTATATAGTGTAGTGTGTGGTGTGCAGTATAATATACGGTTAAGTGTATTATTTAGTGTATTGTGTAGCGTACGGTGTATAATGTAGCGTACGGTTCATAGTGTAGCGTATTGTATTGTGTAGTGTGCAGTGTATAGTGTAGCTTATTGTGTAGTATGTGGTGTATAGTTTAGTACGTGGTGTATAGTGTAGTGTGTGGTGTAAAGTGTGGTGTATAGTGTAATGTACAGGGTATAGTGCGGTGTATAGTGTAGTGTGCAGTGTATAGTGTAGTGTATGGTGTATAGTGCAAGGTGTATATTGAATAGTATTGTAGTCCAGCCAAAACAACCCCCATTTCCTCGATAGTGCAAGATGGTAACGCTGTCGTGGCTGTAAGCAATGTCATGGGGGGGTGGGCCGATTCAAATCGGCTGTTCCCAATGTGGTGCTCATAGCCACTACAGCAGCACAAAAGGGCTCTGGACGGGTGCGCCCCGTCCACCCTCAATTCAATTACCACTAAACCACGTGTAAAATATGATTTGGGTCTTTCGGTAAAGTCACGTAGATAGCTTCAAATTAATACAAATAAATATAAAATAAACAAAAAACTACGACGTTTCGATCACAACACAAGCGATTATCATCAGGAGGAAAAAAGAGGGGGAAAGCTGCTGACTGCAGACTGTTTTAAAGGTTTAAAATAGGTGCAGTCCAAGGGTCATAAATGAAGTGGGCGGGGCTAGTGATGTTACTGTGAGAAATTAGCATGTCAATGTAAGATCGCAGAGCCACCGCCACGTCGAGGTCGGCGCGCGGAGATGACCACGTTGGAGAAAAAATAAAAAAAATAACATCGGAAGGTGGCAGGATGGGAACATCACAGCCAGTTATGACTTAAACTGGTTGATTACGTCTTTCCAATGATTGCTCAGTTTGTACCCATCTTCTCGGTTTAAATTGTGTCTGTATATATGGATGGCTTCATGAACGAATCTTTGTTGATAGCCAGTGGGCTTGTAAAGTACCTTCATCTTCGAAAAATCTATTTTGTGTGAGCCATCCGCATTAAAACAATGATCAGCCACGGCCGATGTGTTGGTTCTACCGTGTTTCAAATCTGCCTCATGCTCACGAACACGGTCCAAGACATGTCGCTTGAACCTATCTACGTGACTTTACCGAAAGACCCAAAGAATATGAATTCCTGCAGTCACAAAAGCTTTAAGTCACGTGTAAATATCAAGCCACGCTTGGTCTGGAGGCCCCGGGGGGACAGACGTCTACAACATCTCCTATCCAAACCTTATTTGGCGAAGCCAGGAGACTGAACCTGGACCCTTAGAGTTCCTCCAAAAATGGAAAAAAGCCACTGCGAGTGGGCACGTGGAATGTTTGAATGCTCACTGCGGAGAAGAGGCTGCCACTCCTCTGTCGGCAGCTGGACCAGTACCACCTGGGTCTCTGTGGTATTCAAGAGGTCTGGTGGACGGGTTCTGGCTCCAGTCAATATGAGAGGTGGACAGTCCTCTATTTGGGTGGGAAACTGCCAAACAATTATTTTCTGAACAAGAGAATGAAGTGGGTGTGGGAGCCTGGTGCTGAGTTGTGGGAAGTTGTAATCCCAGGCTACTGTGGGCTCGCCGCTCCATCAACAGCAGGCGAGGAATGGTGGAGAGATGCAGGGAAGGCCGATGAGTCAGATGGCTTCTATGACCTCCTGTCACAGGTGCTGGTTAAAGTGGCCCCTCGGAATAGTCATCCTGTTGGGTGACTTTAATGCCCGAGTGGGTCATGATTCAGGTACCCGAGCTGAAGTGATTGGAAGGCATGGGCCAGATTAGCTCAATGACATTGGCAGGAGGCTGCTAGACTTCTGTGCAGGCCCATGGGCTTGTAATTGCCAACATGTTGTTCCAGCACATCATAGATGCAAGACCTTCCGTGGAGCTGATCTGCCAAATGACCATCGATTTGTCATCTGTAAAATACGTCTACCATTCCTCGGACACCATTCAAAACTACAGTGCCCTGGTCTCAGCTAGATGAAGTTGCAAAAACGTTACCATCGCTTGCAGCTGGGTTTGGCATCGTCCTGATGCCAAAGAGAAATGGGCAAGGTTTAGGACTGTGGCTAATGCAGCTGCAATGGCTGCTTTAGATACACAGTCCAGACCTCCCCAGAGACTCTGGCTGACCTTCACCATTATTCCTTACGGGAAAAATCACTCCCGCTCAATGCAAATTCACTTTACTCGGCAATTATCAGGAACGCAACCCCCAGGTTAAGCGGGGAATTGCTGTACTGGAGGCCTCTGGACGATCATGATTACTCACTGACAGACTGTACGTATCGACAGTTCTCAATTTATAAACAAATTTCGTTCCTGCGACGCATTCGAGAGTTGAATGGTTGGCAAGTCGGAACACAATAATATATCGTATTTAAATGCAGATCGTCAGCGCCGCGCCCGGCCGCCTTTGACTCCCCAGTGGTGATGTTTACACACCGCACCAGGTACTGATTTGAGGCTGAGTCGACCTAAGGGAAGCCCAAGACCCATTAAAATGATCGTCACTGGTGTTGGTCATGAGCAGGAATCGAAATTTGGTCGCCGGTGGGTCGTGGAGTGCGCTAACCATTACACTACCGTTCCCCACACACACACACACGGGGGTACGCACACGCACAGACCCGCATTGGGAAAAAAGTTAACAAATCCCAGGAAAGGTTGAGAAAGCTAGACCAGTGCCCTAAACTAAACTCACCGCTCCTTCTGCAGAGCTGCCCTCTGGGCCTGCAGGCTGCTGGGAAACTGCTCAAGCTTGAGGGAAGACCTCCCCAGCTCCTCCAACGACTCTGCCGCTCCGTCATGAACGTCCGCCGTGCCGCCTTTCACCGCCGCCTCCCCAGGGAGCTCTCCTCTTCCCTGCCAGGGGCACAAGCATCAGAAGGTCGACCCCGACCTCCAATACAAACAATGCAGGGTCCTCACAGGAACAATGACAACGGGAGAGAGGGAAGCAGTGTCGAGTTGAGCCAGGGTGAGAACTCAAGAGAGCAGGTTAGAGGTGCATTTTTTTTTATTTTACCAGGTATGGTCCACTGAGCTATATAGCTCTTTTTTCAGAATGAACCTGGCCACAAATGATAGTTCAACGAAGTGGCTTATCATGTGGAAATGTATAGCAGCCATATACTCTAAACACGTTTCTAAATATGGAGGGAAAAACTGGAAGACCCAGGGAAAAATCCACACGAGATTGAACCCACGACCTCCTGTATATCAGGTGAGGTAGTTGACATCTCACCATTGTGGCACGACAGTGACGCGGGCCACGAAAATGATAAAAGCAATAATAAACAAATACAGTGTGGCAATTAAGCAAATAGAAATCGGGGCAAAAACAACCATGCAGGAGTCGAAATTTAAAACAGCACAAAGCCTCTTGCTTAATTACTCTTCATCGCACCATCAATCATCCATCACCTTCTCTTGGTGAGTCTGTAGCTGCTCCTTCAGGGACGCCCTCTCCTGCTCGAAAACGGAGAGTTCCTCTGGAAAACAGAGCACATGGCATGGACGACTTGGCACCGTTCATGTTCACAATGACGTATGTCCATCGCCAGGTTTGTCGTGTGTGACGCCGCGCACACAGTTTTCGTTAAGATGCACAGCCACGGGGAAACCACGGGCAAGCTGAAAGGCAGCCAGAACTAGAGCCAGCAATTTCCAAGCTCTGTTGTCCTATATTGGGATGTTTGGCCAAGTCTATTAACAAGTGATTATTATACACGTGGGGGGAAACCGGAGTACCAGGAGAAAACCCACGCGTACGTTGTGCATTGGGGGGAGTAACCCTTAATCCCCATACAGATGGAATTCAGATAGAAATGAACCCACTTGCTCTACTGCCATCACAGCATGGCTACAATCCAGGAGATAGCAATCGCGACGCCCTGTGAGTGTGTGCCTGATCCACCAACCCTGGCTGTCGAAGAGTTGGCATTGGTCTTTTGTCAAATATTTGGGACATTACCTATATACTTTTTCACGTTTTTACATGGTGCAAAAACGCAACAAAGGGCTTCGATGTGCCATACAGTATATATATTTTTTACATCTATAGTTTATCTAACATATAGGAAATAAGGGGAATTTAAGTTTCTTCCTAAATGGGGCAATCTCGGTGGTCAGGTGCAGTTCTTCAGGCAGAGAGCATTCCAAATCTGACGGAACTAAAAATCCTGAGCTCCAAAACTTTTTGCAGACTGAGGATCGTGGTCACAGTGTGAAGATCTCAGACTCTGAGAACAAGGGTTTGTGAAGCTGCAGTTTATCAGTCAAATATCGAAGCAACTGCTGAAAGAGTGCTTTGTAAAGTAAGCACAGCAAGTTGAATCGTGCAGCACGGAATCTCAATTGGGAAGCCAGCGGCGTAGGTAAAGTTTGGGAGGTTGGGTCCCACCGAGAATGACTGGTCGGTCATTAGTCACGTAAAGGGGTTTTGAATGCTCTGGATTAGTCTATACCTCGGTATAAATGAAAGTCATAGATTTATTGATATTTTTTAAAATATTATTTTGACCGTAGGCATAATTAGAAATTAAATTGAAGGTGCCCATTGCACAATCTGTGCGTGGCGTTGCTATTAGCGCTGAATGGGGTCCCCGTAGTGGAAACGGAGTGCCTGTGCAAATGACTTCACCTGAAAGTTCCAACAGCGTTTGTGTATAGCAATCCGAACTCCTGATAAGACATGGGAAAGGTTGAGAGTAGGGCCATTCCTTGAGGGGTGCGGGCTCCAGGGCAAATTAACCGATGGCTTCAAACTAAACTGAAATATATTACATCTTAGACCGAAGCACAGAGCCCCCCCCCTCCCCCCCAAAGCGCGGAGCCCAGGGCGGTCATCCTGATTCGCCATGACCGAGGGATGGCTCTGGTTGAGAGCGAGATGAGAAGTAGGAGAGTATGCGAGAGCGTGCAAGAGCATGCAACAGCATACAAGAACGAATGCTCGCGCATTAAGGTTGAAAATGCCTTTGTCGTATGGACGATGGGGCTCTTACCTGGCGACGTCGTGAGCGCTGACAGGGGCACGATGTCTCTGCACTGCTGCGGTAGAGCGCCGAGACGCTGCCGTAGTGCTCGGCATAGCCCCCTTACCGCAAGCAGTTGCTGTAGCTCTGGACTCAACGTGACCGTTTTCACGCTGGCGCTCTTGGCGTCGGCGATTGAATTGCCGTTGGCACCTCGAGGAGCCTCCTCCGCATCACCTCCAGCAGCGTTGGTGTCGTTCAGGAGTGAGAGAACATGCACCAGCTCCTCCTGTAAGGCAGCCAGCTGCTGACCGTACTCGAAGTATCGCTTTTCCTCCTGCTTCCCCTTCTCCTCCTGCTGCTGCTGCTCCCGACTCGAGCTCTCGGCCTCCAGCTCAGCACGAGCCTCGACATTCGCAGTGTGTTTGTTCGAAGCCTCGCCACTCTCCCCTTCCCCGTCTGCAGCCAATGCCGGAAGCGGTTGCGAGTGCCTTTGTTCCAACGCCTGCCTCAGTGCATCCATCTGTAGTTCTGCGAGTTCCATTTCCTTCCGATGCTCGGAGCGAAGGTCACTCTGCATCGCCACATATTCCTCCGCCCGCCGGCCCCGCTCTTCCTCTACGACCTCCTCCAGTTCCCGCATATGGCTCCTCTCCAGGTCCTCCACGAGCCTCTTGACATCGTCCTCACTATAACGCAGCCGCTCGCTCTCCTTGGCGTCGCGCTCCATCATGTCCACCCGCACACGGTAGTTCTCCACCTCCTGCAGTGATTCGAACTCAAGCTCTGTGTTGGCGTTGAGTGCCAGCGCCAGCTGCTCACGCAGACCCTGCATTGTCTGCTGCATCAGTTCGGCGCGGCGCTTCAAGCCCTTGGCCTTCAGCCCCAGTTCCTTGTTGACCTCTCGCAGGAGCTTTGCGTGCTGCTCGGCCTTCACCTTGTGCTCCAAGTACTTGTCAATGGACTTCTTGTGGCCACAGATCAAGGCCCCCATCTCGATTTTGTGCTGTAGGCTCAGTCTGGACGCCTGCTTTTTGAAATCGTTGTTCAACTCCTCCCTCAACTCATCCTCTCGGCGCCGCCAGGCAACCTCCCTCGCTGACGAGCCGGTGAAGAACTCAATGTCCCCGCCGGGCGATTCCTGGTCGAAGTCGTCCACTTGCTCACAGAGGTCCCTCACCATCTCGTCCACCCGCACGAGGCCGTCGCTCAATGTCGCGGTCACCTCATCACTCTTGGCCTCCTTGCAAAGTTTCTCCAGATCGGCGAGAGTCTCGTGAAGTTGCTGCCTCAGCTTCGCCACTCTTCGCTCTCTTGTGAGTGGCTGCTCAAAGACGTCTTCGTCTCCCCCTCCTTCTACAACCTTGAAACGAACACGAGAAATGTTAGTACATCAAAGCCTTTCCCATCGCAGGTGGAGTTACGTTCTTTCAAATAGCCACAATCGGCAAATCCGTGATCCGCAAAGTCAAAGGCAAATGGGTAACATAGGGTTTGGTTCACGGTTTGTAATGACACCCACCCCCCTCCTTATGTTTTATGTTACCCTACGACAACCCAAACATTAAACAGAAAGTATTTTGAATGCAAGACATGATTAATATATTCTACAGTTAAAGACCTCCTTTGCCAGTAACAAGATATAGTAATAGGTTTTACCCTTTTATCTGGCACAAAAACTGACACCTTTATTCAAGGCATCATGTTTGCAATAACCACAACACAAGCAGTCAAAATGCAAACAAAAGAGACAACTCTGATAATAATATGCACTGTCCTTGAATTTGATTGGTCCACACCCGAGACGGCTTTTCTTAAAGCCTAGTCTCCACTGGTGTTGGACCAGAAGACGCCTTTTGGCGTCTTCTGGTCCAACACCAGTGGCGTCTTCTGGTCCAACACCAGTGTAGACTAGGCTCTAAGAAAAGCCGTCTCGGGTGTGGACCAATCAAATTCAAGGACAGTGCATATTATTATCAGAGTTGTCTCTTTTGTTTGCATTTTGACTGCTTGTGTTGTGGTTATTGCAACCATGATGCCTTGAATAAAAGTGTCAGTTTTTGTGCCAGTTAAAAGGGTAAAACCCATTACTATATATTCTACAATGTTAAATATAACTTGTATGGTAAATGTATAGAATGAAAACAATTAACATAGTTTATAATACTTTACACAATTTGTGTACAGTACTGTACACGACAGGAAGAACCATCAAGGCGGCTGAACCTCACTACCTCTTCACTGGAGGCTGGGAACACCGCGTGGCCCGAGACCCGCGATGGGCCGCGTGTGTTCTTCCGCGACAGCATCATCGCGAACAGTGCAGTTACAACGCGTACAAGAATGTCGCGGTCAAACGCGAATAATTTGCTCAACCACAAAACCGCGATAGCTAAACCAGCAAGAGAGAAGGGATTGCTGTAAAGCAATAATTATCCACACGCAAACATACCATGGAACATAAGCAATCGAGATTAAATCATTTCAAATAATTTCAATTATTTTCTCTTAAATAAAGTTGCTGAGCATAGGCTGAAAGAATATATGGCTGGTAAAAAACAGCACGATCAAAGTTGCAAGAGATTCTTGACTTGAGCAAGGTTATTTTACAAGGCTGGGGGAAGAGAGACAATGGAAGGAAACTTCTGAGTGCAGGGCAGGACAGTGCAAGGGAAGAAACAGATAGAGAGGCGTTGTGTCCTGCAGTGTGGTGAGTGAGAGTGTTGAGTGGGTGGGTGAGTAACTGTTGCTTTGAACTGCAGCGTAATCAGTGGTTGAATGAGTGGGTTGAGTCAGTGGGTGGGTGAGCATTCTTTGTGAACTGCAGTGTGGTGGTTGAGTGCATGGTTGAGTGGGTGAGTGGGTGAGTGGATGGGTGGTTGAGTGGATGAGTGTTTCTGTGACCTGCAGTGTGGTGATTGACACAGTATGGAGGAGAGGATGATACACTATCACAGATCGAGTCCTCAACATTGGTGGAGCAATGTGAAGTTCACGATAAAATTATAGTACACTCCAGATATTATACAAAGTGATTTTTCAGACTAACTAATCGGATGACATATTCTTCACTTATCTGTCCCTCTGCATTACACAGCACAAATCACTCATCTCTTAAAAATAACATCACGACCAAACAGCATTCAAATAAACCCAGTTATATCTTTTCCTCCTCGATAGAAAGCCAACGACCGTCAACTGCAACAACAATGCAAGCCGAAAACCGTTACATTCTTTGACATCGGTCAAAACAACGCGAGTAAGAGAGGAGTGGCTTTCGGGAAACTCCCAAATTGAACATATTCCTGCGGAGGGAGCTGGTAGGAACGTTGGGTTGCTCGGTCAATGGCCAGGGTCAACGGCGGCGTGGTGTATTCCGCAAATATGCCCGACTGTGAGGGCGGGCACAAGCTGGCGTGAGTCGGTTAAACGTTGTTTTATAAGGGCACCACGGGGTGATCAGCCCCTCCCCACCCAGCCCCTCCCCACCCTCCCCACCCAGCCCCTCCCCACCCTCCCCACCCTTCCCACCCAGCCCCTCCCTCTCCACCCAGCCCCACCCCTCCCATTTTTGGATGCACGACGGACGGACACAATAATCCCCTGTGGGCTGGTGTAACCAGGAGGTTCCTACCAGTACATGTCATGTATGTAGAAGTTATTTCGCACAGTACGTAGCCAACCATGCAATCGGAGTTGCAGGGGAAGGAGAACAAACCAAACACAATAAGCAATTCTAAAGAAATTAGTTTTCTTTTGAGAAAATGTACTTTCATAGAAAACCCATAGAGATACAGAGAATCATAAACTCAAAGAGAAATGTTAATGACAAGCCACATTAGTGTGATTGTGGCCATGCAACCAAAAGCTATGGACCGTAGAGTACTCAGAGACACAAAGAGATACATTAAAGGCAAGCAACAGTCCTAAGATTGTGGCCATGCAACCCAAACTATGGAATTTACAGTAGACTCATAGAGAAACAAAGACTCTGCCACAAAGAGATACAGAGCGATTCAATGAGATACATTAAAGACAAGCCACAGTAGTGCAACTGTGGCCATGCAACCCAAACTATGGACCATATATAGTGAACGAATGTGGTCTGTACTCCTTCATTGGAGGAGGAACAGCCAAACCACACGAACTCTCTCTCTCGTGAAGCCCTCTCGTCAAGGCTAGCAGACCTCGACATTGCGATTTAGCTCCTAAACCATTTTGGCATCTTAACGCAAAAATATAATACTGTGTGTTCAGTAGTGGTACCATATGCATTTTGCCAATCTCCTCTATTGCAGGGGTCAGCAACCAAAATAACAAAAGCCATATTTTCGAATTCGGTAAAAAAACCCTCAATATTTCAACAGCCGCAATGCATGTGAATACGTCTAGAGACGGTGGTCCTTAATAAGTAACGTCACGAAACGGTCCTTAATGAGCCGCATGCGGCTTCGGAGCCACAGGTTGCCGACCCCTGTACCATGTTAATCCACTGTAGTCTACTTATATTGAGAGACAACATGACTGGGCACGTGAATGAGCGATCACATGAGGGTTAATGCCACCATGGGGCAGAAAGAAGTCATCTCCATAAGTGATCGATTGATGAAGCAGAACATTGGAGCCACATTTGCAAATATATTCTGTAACTTTGATCCTTACCCGTGTACCATCGATTGTTACATTTCAACGTGCAATTTATTCGAGGGAACGTGTGTTGTCTTCGTGTGGTCTGGGACTGTTGTTGTTTTGCTGCCTTGCTCCAAGCTTGGCAGGAATTGATGTACTTGTGCACCTTGTAGTTATAAACTTTATTTATATCTATGTTTCGTGACTTGCTTACCTTTTCTCTACTTTGCACTTCTATCATTTTTTTGTAATGTTTGCTGTTGTAACCCGCCGACCCGTCCCTTTTGCATATCTGTGAAAAAAGAGCTTCATCGCTCATCAGATTCCCGCTGCTGTCTAAGCAACGATTCTGATTCTGGAGTGGCAGACAACATAATGGAACGCGATCGCCGAGGAGAGGAGACGGAGCAATGAAATGGGAGCAGGTGCAGGGCGGATCGTTAACATCACAGGGTCGCGAGACGTTTGTTTCGCTAGCCACTTGGGGAGGCCTGCATCCAGCAGTGGATGGACCATGGATGATGATGTTGTTATAAACGTCACGATTCTGCTTTGGTTCCTGCCCAACGCGTTAAAGAGCAGCAGCAGCAACACCTTATCTCACCTTATCTCGTCAACTGCTCCCTGTTTAACATCATCTATGGGGGTGCTATTTGTTGCTGGCCGTTAGACCTGTTGGGCCTTTTGGGCTCACCCGGCGACTTTGTTCGAGTTACACACCCCACACACACACACACCACACTGTACACACACACCACACCGTACACACACCACACCGTACACACACACCACACCGTACACACACACCACACCGTACACACACACCACACCGTACACACACACCACAACGTACACACACACCACAAAGTACACACGCACACCACACCGTACACGCACCCCACACGCACACCGCACACCTTCTGAATGCGAAGTCGGCCACGTTGTGTGCGGGGTACCGATCGGTAACGCCATGAGTACCTGGCACTGCGGATTACACTCCACGCCCCGGGCCGCCTTTTCCTCCTCGCTAATGCTCCTGTTGTTGTTGCTGCTGCTGGTGTTGTTTACATACCGCACCAGGTACTAGACCGTTCTTGTTTGAGGCCGAGTCGACCTAGGGGGAGCCCAGGACCAGTTCAAGGCTAACCACTTGGCATGGATGACAGCCCTGGGGACTGGCGAAGAGGTGGTGGCGGTGTGAGGGGGAACGAGGTGATGTGAGGATGGGGGGTGATGGGGGCGGGGATAGGGGTGATGGGGGAGGGGATGTGGGTAATGGGTATGATTGGGTTGATAGAAGGATGTGGAGGGTGATGAGGTGGGGAGATTTGCCGCGGGTCTAATTGTAGGTTTTTTCTCCTCGCGTTTGTAAAATGGTTTTGTCTCCATGACCGCTAACCGCATGCCATGAAACCGGTAAAAAAAAGCCGGTTACCGGTTTTGCCGCACAGAGAGATGCAATGGCTCGCGTTAATTAACACAGCTTGTGCCCGATTAAAATGAGCTCAGGTAAAGCCGCCCCGTGGTGCCCACAATGGGGCGAGTTCCGCCGAACTCCCCATCCTGACCATGTGGGGGTGTCCCATCGATGGGTTCGCCACGGCCGCCACGGCACTGTTGGGTCGGCGGGTGGAGGAGTGGTGGGGTAAGGCGTGGGATCCCACCCATGGTGTGGGGTAAGACGTGGGATCCCACCCATGGTGTGTGGTAAGACGTGGGATCCCACCCAAGGTG